AGTCTTGTTTTATCAACAGAAGCATGAAAGACTCTTTGTAACATTTATAAGAATAAGAACTTATCCAACATCATCTATATAAGGAGAAAGTTCTTGACTTGTAAGATGGAAGAAGGTGAAGACTTCATGATACATATCAACAAAGTAAAGGTACTTGCAAACCAACTTGGAATTATAAACAAGCCTTTAGAGGGGGTAGATGTTATTATGACTCTACTTATGAGCTTACCAAAATCCTAAAACTACCTCATTGTGGCTTTAAAATCTATAAAGATGAAAGAACTCACAATGGACCAAGTGATAGAAAGACTTAGTTATGAAGTGACCAAAAGAAAAGATAAAGAACCTCAAAGTGAAGATTCAGTATTCTATTCATGATAAGGAAATGGCAATTATTCAAACCACCAAGATAATATCAAAATTTTCTTTATTTGTGGCAAAATAAGATATTTTATTTGAAATTATTGCAAAGGCAAAAAGATGGAAAGGGAGAATGCAAATAATATACAAAATGAGTTTAGAAGAGAAGATTATGCATTCTCAATAGTAAATGACACCTCTATGGTTGCCATATCAAGATAGTTTGTAGACTCAAGTTATTCCAAGCATGACATCTTATAAATGTTCATTTGATACTTATGAGGCTATTTCAACATTAAATGTGATTTTGGAAGATAGTGGTATATGAAAAGCCATTGGAATTGGTTTTATTATAGTGGAGGTGGTTGTAAATTGATAAACCAATAGGATTACATTCAAAAACATCTTTCATGAGCCTAAGATGAAGAAAAACCTACTTTTGGTGAGTAAACTTGTAATAGAAGGTTTTATGGTTAAATTCAATAAGAATGGGTGTTTAGTAAAGATATTACATAAAAACATAGTTGCTAAAGACTCTAAAAAGAGAAATTTATACTACCTCAAGTATAAAAAGGTGAATAGAGTGCAAGTAGCTGCATATGCTTAGTTTACATCAAACCAAGAAAAGTTGAATATATAATATTGTTGCCTTGGCCATTTGAACATGAAAAGCATGGCAAAGCTTAAATCTATGGTAAGTGACTTAGATCTTGGTGAAACAAGCCAAAATACAATAAAACTTGTATGTGAAGAATGCATACAAGGCAAACAACAAAAGGCCTTATTTCCAAGTGTTGTAGCAAAATGTGCTACAAAGTTGTTGGAGATTGTCCATTCTGATATATGTAGACCTATGAAGACCATAAGTATTGGAAGATCAACATATTTCTTTACTTTCATTGATAATTTTTCAAAAAATATTTGAATCTACATTCTTAAAGCCAAGAGTGAATGCTTTTAGAAGTTTAAGGAATTTGAAGTATTTTTTAAAAAATAAAGTAAGTACAAGATCAAATTGTTGCTTATGAATAATCAAGGTGAGTATATATCTAAGCAATTTGATGTTTACATGAAGAATGAAGAAATTGCTAAACAAACAATAATTCTATATACTCCACAACAAAATTATGTTGCTAAAAGGGTAAATCAAACCATTGTAGAGATGATAAAGATCAAGCTTCATGTTCAAAATCTTGGTTATGAGTTTTGGATAGAAGTTGTAGTAAATGCAGTACATACAAGGAATAGATATCTAATAAGTATTCTTACATTAATGACTCTACAAGAAGCTTGGAGTAGGAAACAATCTTACATTTTACATATGAGGATTTTTAGATGCATTATATATACAAAGATACCAGATTGTATGAGATCCAAAGTAGATGCAATAAATACAAAGTGTATTTTTTTAAGATGTTATGAAGGTACTAAGGCATATAGGCTAATGTATTTGGATACCAAAAAGATCATTAAAATTCGTGATGTTGAATTTTTAGAGTATGAGAGTACTTGTAAGCACTTGGAGATATGTCTAAGTAAAATTAATACTATGTTTATGGACACATCTCCAATTTTAGCAACAAAAGAAGAAGATGAAGAAAACAAAGGATGAAAAATGTATGAATGAAGATGAAAAGGTAAAAAAGATGAAAAAGAAGGCCTTATAAATTTTTAAGACTAGTAATAAAGATGTTGAAGATTATAATGATGATGATGATGAAGAGTATCAATCCTTGAGTGAAAAAAGATAATCTTTAAAAAAAAGCTTGAAAGAAAGTATGAAATACAATAAAATGAATCTTCTTCAAATGAAAGGAGATATTTCTTGAAAAAAAGAAGACCACGTAGCAAATGGTAGAAGAATCACATCTTTCCTCAAATAAGTAAAGAACATACAAATATTGTTCTTTTTGCTAATCTTTTGTCTTGTTGTGATGTTATAAAATCTCAAGATGCAATGAAGTGGGAGAAGGCTATAGAAGAAGAATACCAATCTCTTATGGACAATGGTATATATGAATTGGCACTTCTTCTAGCAAATTGATCTAATATTGATTGTAAATGGATGTAGCGGTGAGACTTAAGGCAAGATTAGTTACAAAAAGGTAACTTGATTTTAATGAAACTTATACACTTGTTGCCAAATTCACCCCTATTAAGATCATTGTGGCAATTGAGGCAATAATGGACTTGGAAATATACCAAATGGATGTGAAGACAGCCTTTTTGAATGGAAAATTGTAAGAAAACATCTATATGGACCAATCTTAAGGATTTGTATAACAAAGCAAAGAATACCTTGTATGCAAGTTGAAGAAATTCTTGTTTAGATTGAAACAATTACCAAAAATATGGTACCAATATATTGACACATTTTTTATGAATAAAGGATTTATAAGTAGTAAGGCTAATTATTCACTGTATGCCATGCAATCTAAAGAATTATTACTGATTATAATCTTCTAAGTTAATGATTTGATTATCTTGGCTAATAATATGGAAAAGATGGATTGAATGATTACCATATTTGAAAAGGAATATGAGATGAGTGATTTGAAAGAGCTCTACTATTATTTAAGAGTGGAGTTTATAAGAGATCATAGGAAGAAGACTATTAAAATGAGCTAAAGCAAGTACATTAAAGAAGAGTTGAAACAATTCAACATGAATGAGTGCAAGCCTATTAGAATATCCTTGGAGGCCAATTTGAAGTTAATGAGGCTCTTGAATAATGAATATATACAAGTTGAAGGTAAAATGCAAAGTATTCAATATAAAGTAGTAGTAGGCTTATTTATATATACAATGGTGGCTACAAGAGTGGATCTTACATTTGATATGAGTATTATGAGCCAACACATATCTAAGACAAGATCTTTATTTTGGATAATGATAAAAAAGATATTAAGGTACTTAAAAGATATAAAGAAGTTCAAATTGTACCTTGGTGGTAAGAACATTGATTTATAAGGTTATCATGATGCAAATTGGATTAGAGATGTATATAATAGAAGATCTATAATAAAATATATATTTTTTATTAAACTGGGAGTCATTTCAAGGAATTGTAAGAATCAATCTATCATTGCAAGATCAACCATGGAAGCTGAATACATGGCAGCAAGTCATTATGTAATAGAAGTATGTTGGATAAGACAACACTTAGAAAACATTGAATTAGTGCAATTAGAAGCAACTCCAATAATATATGATAATCAAGGATGACTTGTATTTGCTAAGAATCCAAAGCACCATTCAAGAATAAATACATTGATGTTCAACATCATTTCGTATGAAAAAAAATTGAAGATGGAATAATAGGTATAAAATATTGTGCTACAGAAGATATGCTTGCTATTGTGCTTACAAAAGTATTAATAAATGATAGACACCAGGGATTGGTAGAGGCATTAGGCTTCAAAGCCTTTTGATAATTAGCAAAGTGGGAGTGTTAAAGATCAGCAAGATCTTATATAGTTGCCACCATATAGAATTAAACCATAATAAGTTATTAATAGTTAAAAAATAACAAAGAATTAAAAGAAGTTACTACAGTGGCGGCTAAGATTTTAGATGGCAACTAAGTTAAGAAGAATTTAGGATTTTTTTGGATGTAGTAAAGAAGAATAAATAAAATTATAGATGAAGACTTTAATTATAAGTAGAGAGTGTTGGAAATGAGAGTCATCTTACTCCACACTTCTCTTAAGTGCAACCTTATTAATGCTAAGTATTGTAGCTTTTAACTTCTTTTTCTTCAATATAAAGAAAGAGCGCTCAATAGCAACCACACATAACAATCCATCATCAATTGTTTTGAATGGAAGAACCTTTTAATATTAGCAGGTCAAGCACTCTGATAAAAAAAAATCATTCTATGATAATTTCTATGAACAATCAAAAGTGTTGTTGTTGCAATTGGCCTCAAATAAGCAGAAGTGACAAAGATTTTTCACTATTTGGCTACCAATGATGCTGATTTTGTGTGAGTTCCATAGCCAAATATTTCACTACAAATTAGGATTTCTTGGCAATAAGTCACGTTAGCTCAAATATCTGTATGGTATGTAGATTTTTATTTTGGTACAATATTTGCTAATTCATGATTTGGATGCAATCAAAATTTGATGCTAGATCGAACATTCATCAAATCTCTATTATCTTAAGATTTTGCCATTACTTTTTTATAACTTTTTTTTTACACAAATATGTTTTCTTAAGTTTGATAAAACTAAAAATCTTTTAAGTAGGATAAGTGTTTAAATGAGAGAATTATACATAAATGTAAAAATCTATAACAAAAGAATACAATAAAAAAAAAGGTTGAGGTATCCAAAACAAGTAATTATGCCCAAATCATTTATTACTATTTGTTGTACACCATACATTGCAATCTATTATATACTAAAAATTCTACTAAACTTAAAAATCATTGTTTGTGTTTCTTTTACTACTATAAGTGAAAATTATAATTTACGTGGAAAAATTAAAATATAATTTCATAAAATATTTTTTACATTTAATATGTCTTTACATTTCCGACTCAGGTTCGAAAGGGATGGCAAGGAGATGCGGTGTGAACGGGGCCGAGGGATTAGGCAAGGTATAGGGGTGCGGTGTGAAGGGGGCCGAGGGATTAGGGTTTAGGGCCGTCGTGTCTCGCTACTTGGGCCAAGGGAGGAGTAACAGGAGCTCTTTTCGTGGTCGGCTTGTTGTCTGAGCTCCTTCCGCTGCTTCACCGCTCCACGCATTGAGCGCTTGACTCTCTTCCGCAATGGGTAAGACATGCTCGTGTCTTCTTCGTGAAGTTTTTCTTCGCATTTGATTCGTTATTTGATGAAAAGGAGGCTTAGGGTTTTATGCGGCCGACACATGACCGTGCAGCTTCTGGCGTTTGTTGCTAATTTTGTTTCTAATGCATTGCAGCGAAGATCAAAGTTCACGAGCTCCGCGCCAAGAGCAAGAATGAACTCCTTAATCAGGTGTAGTTTCTGTTCTTTGAAAGTGTGCTAACTTTCCACTGCTTCCCCCTCTCAACATAGGGTTTTCATTGATACTATGATGTCTCTCACGTTTGAGTGTAGCTAAGAGAGACTAGCAGGAGTGTGAGGATTTTGTGGTCCTAACTCTGGAGCTTTTACTTCAAATCGTGAATGCAGTTGAAGGAGTTGAAAGCCGAGCTCGCTGCCTTGAGAGTTGCTAAAGTGACCGGGGGTGCGCCGAACAAGTTGTCTAAGATGTACGTTCTCTACTTTATCAAGTGAATCGGTCGTGTATACTTCCAGATTATTGCGACTTCTCGAACTTTGTAGAATTTTTTTCGAGTTAAATGATGAAATTCTACTCACGTTAAATACTGATGAACAATTAACACGATGTCCTCTCTTCCATCTTCAAGATTCAGTAGTTTTCGAACTGACCGAGATAGCACAGAACGAGATCGTCACGGTCCCTCGACTTGCTCTCAAGGATAAAGTACCTTCACCTAATTCAGTCCTTTTGTCTTTGATTTTACAGCAAGGTGGTTAGGCTTTCAATAGCCCAGGTGTTGACTGTCATTTCTCAGACACAGAAGGCAAGTCTTCGAGAAGCCTACAGCAAGAAGAAGTTCCTTCCCATTGACTTGCGTCCGAAGAAGACTCGCGCTATTCGCAGGAGGTTGACCAAGCACCAGGTGAGTTTTCGAGATTTGGCCTATCAAATTTTTGGGACTTCAAAATGCTGAAGGTTTTTATTCTTGGTGCAAATACACAGGGTTTACTTCACCCTACTTCGAGCAATTGTTTCATGGTTTTAAAAGCGAATGATCTGCTAATATTCTGCCCGTGAATACGCAGGCTTCCATGAAGACCGAGAGGCAGGAGAAGAAGGAGGCTTACTTCCCCATGAGGAAGTTCGCAGTTAAGGCTTAGAAATCTGTGCTTGGTGCATCGATCGCTTGTTGGAGCATCTTTTTTATTGTTTTGAATGCAACGTGGGAAATTCTGTTTTTAGTCTCAAATCTCGTTCTTGAATGAATCCTTATCTATTTATGGGATTTGTCTCGCATTTATCCATGTTAGAGATGTTCAAAAAGTTATGTGAATGGAGGGAACTGAGGGATTATGCTGACTTTTTAATTACTGCGTTGACCGATCCTGGTTGGTTACGATGACGCTATCTTTTCCCCTTTCCGCGAACGTACCTCTTTATTTCTTACAATTCAAGGCGGTATGTTTATATTTTTTCGTGAGCTGCAATTGGGAGCATTGCGAATCAAGCTTACAGAGCATCTCTTCTGGATTTTTGACCTGCATAGTCCAACTGAGGCATGGGCGTGTTGAATCTTCGACATGATCGGATCATGTATCGTTCATGATGAATGTCAACAATGTGAAGTAATGCAGTTATTGCATGAGCTTCATATCTTGCTTGATAGTTTTTACCAAAAAATCTACTAAGCTAGTTGTCAGAAAGAACTAGGGTTCATCGTGTCAAATATCCTACCTGCAACTCATGAAAGCATCCATTTCAGTTTGAAAGTAATGTTTTCTTACAACTTTTGCTGTTTACACTAAATACATACCGATCGTTTAAGTAGTAGTTATTTCTAATGTCTTGATGTTGCTCACGGGAGTGATGCACACTATAATATACAACATGCAGGTCTGTCAGCATATTGGTTGCATGTGTGTTCTAGTTGATGGCTGTTACGAGTTATGTAGTAGGTTTAATTGAAGGTTTATGCTTATGTAATCATATCTGGTTGGCATCTACTGAATTTGTTGCGGTTGTTTACAAAGAAAAGAATAGTAGTAAGTAACATACACACATACAAGAGAATTCCAAAAGAGAGTTTCATGCAAAAGTCTATTGATCTAGATGTGTCTTGTATACAAGAGGGAAAGGGGAGAAGATAAACAGTTCCTCTCCACTACATTTCAAATAATGTAGCTATAGTATTGACTACAGTAAATATCATTGAGAGTGTTGGCTACATTTAATGCTCCCAACACTCCTCGTTCATCACAATATTTACATAATATAAAATTTGTATAGAATTATGATCTATACTTTTTTGTAATTTGACAAGTTCAACAATTGTTGCCTCATTAAACCCTTATCTAGGAAAATCTTATTGTATTAAAGGGCAAAACCATAGATGAAGGAAAAAGAATACATCATTTTTCTTAATTATTTAAAGAGTTCATTAACTTTCTTATCCAAAAAAAGCAAGTCATCGCATATCAATGCCATAAATAAGTCAATGATGGTTGTATAATGGAAGAGCTTTGGTGAAGGGATCAACAAGGTTATTTGCAGATTCAATTTTTTTAATTATAAGTGCTTGATCAGTAATCAAGTCATGGATATTAACTAAAATACTTTGGATCAATATGCTTTGTCATGTCGCCTTTAATAAACCAACTTACATCTGTGCAATACAAGCACTATTGTCTTCATGCAAAATAGTTGGAGAATCATCATATGAAAATCCACAGGTTGTTTGAATGAATTTATCAATTGATCGCAATCAAATACATTCTTGAGATGCTTCATGTAAGATAATAATTTCTGTATGGTTGGATGAACTTGTAGTTATTATTTGTTTCACTGATTTCCATGACATTACAACTCCATGTCTTAAAAATACATATCCTGTTTGAAATTTAGTTGTTGTAGTATCAGATTTATATGCCACATTACAATATCCAACCAATTTTGGATTTGCAGATTATGTGTAGTATAATCCCAAGTCTTCAATATCTTTTAAATAACGTAATAAATGTTTGATGCCATTCTAATGTCAAAATATTAGATGTGTACTATGTCTTACAAGAATACTAACTGCAAATGCAATATTTGATCTTGTAGATGTAGCCAAATATAAAAGTGCTCAAACTGCTGTAAGGTATGAATATTGATCTTTCAATATTTCCTCCTCCTCCTCCTTACATGGACGATATGGATCATGACTATCACGACCACGTCCAACCATTAGTATAGGCAATGGATAAGCATTAATCATATTGAATCTCTATAAGATTTGGCTAATATATATTAGTTGGTAGAAAAAAAATGCTACCATGTGTGAGATGCATAATCTGAAGACCAATGTAGAAAGTTATTTTTCTTAGCATTTTCATCTCAAATTCACATATAAGTAGATTAGTAGTTGCAACACATGCAGATTTAATACCCATTAGGTTAAAATCATCAATATATATAGCGATGATCACAAAACCACTTTTATCTTGTTTGATAAATAAATAAGGGATTAGTGGATCACTTACAAACTTATGTGAAATTAAATAATCTCAAAGACATTGATACCACATGCATTTGGATTGTTTTAAACCATACAAGGCCTTACATAATTTAATACCATGATATTGTCCTAGAGCAGGTTCATTTAGAATTTCTATTTCTAAGCCAAGTGGAACTTTCATATAAATACTTGCATCAAGAGAACCATATACATATGCAGTTACCACATCCATTAAATGCATCTCAAGGGTGGCATGAGCTCCCATTCGAATAATATATCAAAATGTAATTGAATCCATGACTAGAAAATATGTGGATTTATAATCAATACCAAATCGTTGAGTAAATCCTTGAGCAACAAGACGGGCTTTTTAGCGGATTATTTGACCCTAAGCATCTTGCTTGCATATTAATACCATCTTATATCACACAGAGTGAGATGTAAGAGTGTCTACAATGGAATCAAAGACTTTCATCTTACGCAAAGAAGTATACTCCTCCTCAATAGCAATTTTTTATTTTGATCAATCAAAGCGATGCATTGCTTCCTCGATGGTTTGAGGTTTAAGATCGTCTTTCTCGCAAGAAAGAGCTTCTATAATCATACATGCAAATGATTCATCTACCATAATAGATAGTTTGTCCCAAATATCGTTTATAGCACAATACAGAATAGATAATTCTTTAATCAACTTGTTCTTATTCCTTCCAATTACAAGATTATTTTTCACAAGAATTGAAGGTATACATTATGCATGGATATATCATCATGAATTGGTGGTTCTGCAAGATGAGTGAGAATTTCTTGAGAAATAATATCAAAATTAGTCAATATTATAGCTTTCTTCTTACATGGTTGCTTATTTGATTCACAAGTTCTTTTAGTTGTTGTTGTTATAACTTGAGGTATTGTAGTTAGTGGCACTGCAATAAGACCAGGTGTATTCTAAGCATCATTAATAAGAACTCTTGTAATTCTAACTCCATTATTGAAGCCATCAGGTGTTTCATCTACGATCCATTTTAGATGCAAAATCTTAACAACTTTAATTTTAGCCAAAGATGTCCTAGAATCAGGATTCATTCTAAATATTTTGGGTGCTTCAAATGCAAGTACTTTATTTCTTTGTTGATTGGATATTCTTCTTTGAAGAAATGAGAATATATTCTCTTCAAAATAATAATTTTACAAACATGCATGTAATAATGTGCCAATTGATAAATCAAGAATATGAATAATGCTTGATGAATCAAAACCAACATATATACCTTCTTGTCGATGAACTTCAAGAGTATGCTATTGAAGTTCTTGTACTAGAATCCAAGTATGGCAACCAAATACTTGTAAGTTAGATATATTTGGAACACGACCTAAAATGAGCTCATGTGGTGAAACAATTTTAAAAAAAGAAGGACAGAGGCATATTGATGTTGCAACATGTAAAACTGCATGACTCCACATAGATGTTGGTAAATTTGTGTGAAGGAAGAGTGGCCTAGTAATGAGTTGTATATGCTTTATAATGACTCCGCAAGTCTAATTTGAGCATGTTCATATGGAACACAATATGTCAACTCAATTCCTATTGCAGTACAATAGTCTTCAAAAGACTTTGATGCAAATTCTTTCGCATTATTCATATGTAATGTTTTTATAGGATAATCAGGAAAATATGCTCGAAAATGAATAATCATAGATATAATATTGGCAAACACTATGTTTTAGATTGATAATAATGAAACATGTGATTGTTTACTTGATGCATCAACAATGACTAAAAAATAATGAAATGGTCCTGATATTGGATTAATAGGATTACAAATATCACGATGCAATCTTTCAAGCATTGGTAGTAATTCTTGTAGGAGTTTTCAAATTGAAGGGCGAATAATCATCTTGCCTTATACGCATGCACGACATAATTTTATAGAGTCTATATCCATAGGCTTTAAATTATATCTATTTATACATGGAATGATCTTTCTAAATAATGTAGATCCTGGATGTTTCAATTGTCCATGCTAGAGAGAAGCATGACTCTCTATGATAGATGATGCAAAATTAAATATAACAGAAGATCGAATCGTAATTTGATATAAACCATTTTCTGTAGGAAAAGCTTTTTCAACAACTTCATGGTTCTTCGCAAGAACCAAAATATCTTTTTTTATTTAAAATGGCGATCGAGAGGTGATAACTATTAATACACATATCTTGGTAGCTGATCAAACTCTAAGGTACTAAGAGTGCAAACATCGCATGTTTATATTTTATGATAGAACTCGCAGGTAATTTTACCATCGCTATGTCCTCTTGGAAAAAAAACGCATTTGCTTTAGCCAAGGTCATCATATTTTTAGTTTGCCAAGTTGAAGATTTTTCAATAAAAAATTGTCTATCAAGATATTATCTTGGAGGATAGTATGTGTTATTGCAGAATCAATGAGCGCACCATTTGATTCATCATTAGAGGTTTTGTCATTCATATAAGCCTCTAAATCATCAATACCAATTGAATCTATAGATACATCTATGATATGAAATTCACGAGCCTCAGCTTGTAGTTTCTTATTTTTTTTAGAATATTTTAATAAAATATTCTAAAATAAGATACTTATGTATTAAATGTCCAATCATTCTATATTTATAGTAAGAATATATCTCTAATTTTTATTTTCTATTATAATTAATAGTAGAACATTTATTCTTTCTATATGACTAGAAATGGTCATGACTATGACTACCTGTCAAGG